GGGCTGGGAAGGTGGCTCAGTGGTAGAGCACTTGCCTTGCATGCATGAGGCCCTGGGTTCGATTCCTCAGCACCACATAAGCAAAAAAGAAAAAAGCCGGAAGTGGCACTGTGGCTTAAGTTGTAGAGCGCTAGCCTTGAGCTGAAGAGCTGAGGGACAGCACCCAGGCCCAGAGTTCAGGCCCCACGACTGGACCCAAAAAAAATAAAAAATAAAATGAACTCCATATTGAATTTTCAGTTTTTCAGTGCGTTTTCTTCTCTGGCATCCAACAGACATTTTTCTCATTTTGATAGTATTTAAGACATACATAGCACACTAATATATCCTATGCTTGGATAACCTCAGTGAACATTTAGCAATGAAAATACCTGTTTCAAAGATAAGAGTTATTAGCCTGTAAAATAATTGAGTTTTTTTTTCTACTAATCTCTTAGAATAATCTGAGAAAGATACAGTGCTGTAGATCAAAGAAAATCTTCCTATCTGTACTCTTCCATAGTACCTAACTATTTTATTTAGCTATAGCATTTTTTGTTGTTGTTGGTCATAGGGCTTGAACTCTGGGCCTGGGTGCTGTCCCTCAGCTCTTCAGCTCAAGGCTAGCGCTCTACCACTTGAGCCACGGCGCCACTTGTGGCTTTTTCAGTTTATGTGGTGCTGATCCCAGGGCCTCATGCATTCGAGGCAAGCACTCTATCAGCCATAGCATTTTTGTTTTGTTTTGTTTTTGTTTTTGTCAGTCCTAGGGCTTGAAAGCTGGGCCTGGGCACTGTCCCTCAGCTCTTCAGCTCAAGGCTAGAGCACTTGAGCCACAGTGCCAGTTCTGGGTTTCTGAGTGGTTTATTGGAGATAAGAGCCTGAAGGACTTTCCTGCCAGGCAGGCTTTGAATTGCAATCCTCAGATCTCAGCCTCCTGAGTAGTTAGGATTACAGGCGTGAGCCACCAGGTGCCCAGCTAGCCATAGCATTTAAAAAATTCTTTTCCTACCTTTTGTGTATATGAATGAAAAATGGAGGAGGGAACCAAGCAGCCAGAAAAACGAACCATTCTGAGCATGGCTTTTACCTTTTTTGGATCTGTATGTCCCTTTCTAAAATGGTCACTAGTTTTGATTCTTTTTTGATAACATTTTTGAAATTTTAAATAAGTAATTGTTATATGAGCTTTTTATCTTGAAAAATTGAAATAACTATTCAAGTACTCATTTTATTGGTTGGGATTTAAGCTTAGCAAACATAAGGAGTATAATGCAACATCAAGACTAGGAACATCTTATCTTTTACTATATATTTCTGTGCTTTGAAGCACTATTTTATATCACCAAAAGTCATAATTTTCCTATATCCAAAAGAGCTATCAACAAAATGAAATGGTAAATACTGATGAAAATTTCTCAACATATGTCATAGATATTAGGTTAATGTTAGATATTTTACATTGATAGTAAGGACATTAAAAATTAGGAGCCTCAACTTTAGGATGAAAGATAAAGTGGTATAACTCCAGAGCAAATAACCAGTATATTTTTCTTGTCTAAGATAATTACTTTTCTGGATATTAATCTTAACAAAATAATCAAATTATATACACAAGTAGTATAAAGCTAATCATCATCAACCTATAAAGTTCATAATTGATAATAAATATTTAATAATTAGGTGTTATTTAATAATATTTATATTTTAATTATTAAATAATTAAAAGCATGATTAAATAATTACTATTTTATATATCCTAATATATGGTTAAAATACTGAAGAATAATTGAAAAGATTATAGCCAGGTGCTGGTGGCTCACACCTGTAATCCTACCTACTCAGGAGGCTGAGATCTGAGGATCACTGTTCAAAGCCAGCCCGGGCAGGAGAGATTATGAGACTCCTATCTCCAATAAAAACCACCAGAAAACCGGAAGTGGCGCAGTAGCTCAAGTGGTAGAGTGCTCGCCTTGAACTGAAGAGCTGAGGGACAGTGCCCAGGTGCAGAGTTCAAGCCCCACGGCCGACAAAAAAAAAAGAAAAGATTATGAGATTTTTTAACTTAAGTGACAAGTTCCAATGCAACATATATTGTATGATCAGTCTTTTTAATTGTTATCTTTAAATAGTTGTAAAGGAGGTGTCCAATTTAACATGTCCATTTGTATGTGCAGTGTATTTGTTGGTCACTTTTTTTGAATAAAAAATTGTATCAACCAAGTGCTTAGGCCTATAGTTCTTGCTACTCAGGAGGTTGAGATCTGAGACTCATGGCTCAAAGCCAGCCAGCTCAGGCAGGAATGTTTGTGAGATACTTTACCTCCAATTAACCACCAAAAGGCCAGATACAGAGCTATGGCTCAAGTGAGAAAATGCTAGCCTTGAGCACAGAAACTCAGTTATACAGCACACAAGCTTTGAGTTCAAGCCCCAGGACCAGCACCAAAAAAGAAAAAAAAATGTATCAGAACAGAATTAAAAGGCTATGTTTCAACAATCATTTTGCAACATTGAGTTAAAGGGATTTTCTTTTTATTTATACTTTTTTATACTTTTATTTATACAGCAAATGTATTTACTTTATAATTGAGCAATATAAAGTCAATGCTTCCTACATATAAAATATATTAACTTCTTCTTAGGCATTGGTTAATTCATGTCTATAATCCTAGTTACTCAAGAGGCTGAGAGGTGAAGACCTAGGCTCAAAGTCAGCCCAGGCAGGAAAGTCCATGAGACTCTTATCTCCAATTAACTACCAAAATGCTGGAAATGGCACTGTGGCTTAAAGTGGTAGTGCACTGGGCTTGAGTATAAAAGCTCAGGGGCAGCACCCCAGGACTAACAAAAAAAAAGAAGAACTTTAATTTTTTGAATTGAATCACAAACATGAATCATTTTAATAGCAAAAGTGAAAGTGTTTTTTATAAAACTTATGGTGTTCACAAAATTAGAAGTATTTTTTCATTTTGGGTTTTTTGTTTGTTTTACATAGTAAGGACAGTTTTTCATATTGTCTGGTATCTGATAGTACTGTCTCTATGAGGCTCTTTCCTCTGGAAAGAAAAGAGTGGATTATATCGTTAAAACAAGTTAATTTTCAGTTATACCTTTCCTGCAGTACATGTGTTGACAAGTTCTGAGTAAATGTTGTGTGGCAGTAGCACAAATGATACAATTCAGTGACCTGATTTTACTACTCTGACTTGTAAGAATAGTTTTACATATATATGTTGGAGTGGGCATACTGTATATTCAAAGACAGTCCTCACTGAGTGTATTTTACCAGCAAGAGTATATTTTGGTCATTCAAGAGCATGTATTTAGAGATCATGTTTTCCCATGGGAACCAAAGAACAAATATATTAATCATATCTTAAATATTAGAGTCAGGAAGGAAGTAAAATTTGGAAATTCCTTCATTAAAAGTCATAATATAGCTGGGCACCGGTGGCTCATACTAAGGAGGCTAGATCTGAGGATCACAGTTCAAAGCCAGCCCAGGAAGGAAAGTCCATGAGACTTATCTCCAATAAACTACCAGAAAACCGGAAGTGGCACTGTGGTTCAAGTGGTAGAACTAGCCTTGAGCTGAAGAGCTGAGGAACAGCGCCCAGACCCAGTGTTCTCAAGCCCCACAAAATAAATAATAATGTTTAGAAAATTGATGTTTATAATCTCAGATTATTCATTTTGAAAAGAACTTATTGCAGGTACTTCATTATTTTTCATTTGTAGTCTGTGTATTGACTCTGTAACTATGTATGGCTTATTTTTCTACCCGTATTGAATTAATGTATCAGGTAATCGGTTTTTATTTTACTCCTTCAGGGAGAAACTTATTCGGCTCCAACATGAGAATAAGATGCTAAAAATTCATCAAGAGGGTTCAGACAATGAAAAAATTGCCTTATTGCAGAGCCTTCTAGATGATGCAAACTTACGCAAGAATGAACTGGAGACAGAGAATAGGTATAGTATATATGAGTCAGCTTCAGCACAGCTTCTCCTTCTTTGCCTTGATTGTGATTCCCTTAAACAGAGATTTGAATTGTATTTTTAAAATGGCCATGAGCTATTGTACTTCCTTTTGACAGTAATCTATTTCTTTGCTTTTGGACTTACCAAAGAGTAGCATGCTTTTTTTAAAAAAAAAATAAGTAATTGTAAAAAGGCGTTGTAATTTCACATGTCAGGTTATAAGTACAGTGCATCTTGATCAATGTTACCCCTTCCATTGTGCTCCCTTATTTTTCCCCATTTCAGGCCTTCTCATGCTCTTTTTTCTCTTTAATTTTATTTTTATTTCTAAGTAGTTATACAAAGGAGATACTATTCAACAAAGCAGTATATCTAAATACAATGAATCTTGATCAGTGTCACCCCTTCCACTGTTTTCCTTCTTTCCCCACCCCATCCCTACTCATACTCTTTATAGCAACATCATCCTCTTAATTTGTTCAAGATGATACCAAAGCTGTAGTCTTTCTAATAGGATTATCTAGAGGATTATCTATATATGGTGGTGTGTGCCTATAATTCCACTACTTTGGAAATAGAAGCAGGAAGATCTTAAGGCCAAGGCCAGCCCAGACAAAGTATCAAGATTCCATCTCTAAAACAAATTTTTTTAAAAAGAGGTAGTAGAATAGCTCAAGTTATAGTGTTGCTAGTAGAATAGCTCAAGTTATAGTGTTTTGCTTAGTATGATGGTTCTCAATTCAATCTATACTTCTCTCCAAAAAGTAAAAAAAAAAAAAAAAAAAGATAATTAAAAAGCAAGCTAGGGTCTGGGAAGGTGGCTCAGTGGTAGAGTGCTTGCCTCGAATGCATGAGGCCCTGGATTTGATTCCTCAGCACTACATACGCAGAAAAAAGCCGGAAGTGGAGCTGTGGCTCAAATGGTAGGGTGCTAGCCTTGAGTTGAGGAGCTGAGGAACAGCTCCTAGGCCCAGAGTTCAGCCCCCATGACCAACAAAAATAAATAAATAGCAAGCTAATCTTCAATTCCAATCTTTTACAATTGTATTTTGTAGTTTATGATCAGGTTAAACCCTATCCCTTTCTCACTGGCTGTTTAAAAAAATCACTGTAGGCCAGCACTGTGGCTCAAGCCTGTAATGCTAACTGCTCAGGATGCTGATATATGAGGATCACAGTTCAAAGCCAGCCCAGGCAGGAAAGTCCATGAGACTCTTTATTGCCAATTAACTGCCAGAAAACTGGAAGTGGCACTGTGGCTCAAGTGGTAGAGTGCTCACCTTGAGCTGAAGAGCGCAAGGACAATGCCCAAGCCCAGAGTTGAAGCCCCATGACCAACAACCAAAAAAAAAAAAAGAATATAGAAGTTTAACCAAGCAATCACTATTCTACTCAAATGTTTTTGGTGTGTTTGGTTAATGCATTCTTTTAAAGCCAATTATATTAAAATCAGCAGTTTTCTCTGACAGGTTACTTTTCATATTTTGTTTGACTTGTCTCTTAGCACATTTCTGTTTCTGAAATCCTTTACAGATAACAATTGTAATCACATAGTCTTTTTTCTCATGGCCATGATATATTCTTCTTTTCAGGGATTTGAACTCAGGGCCTTGTGCTCAGCTATGTTCACTCACAGTTGGTGCCCTGTTTCTACTTGAGATATATCTGCAGTCCATCATTTTGCTGACTACTTGGAGATATAGTCTGGTGAATTTTTCTGCTCTAAGATCCTCAAATCTCAGCCTCCTTAATAGCTAGTATTATAGGCATGGCCACCAGCACCAGTAGATTTGACATTTTTATTAATAATTTTCTGTTTTGACAGATCTGTGTTCTTTTATGCTTGACTTTATATTTCTCAGGTAGGAGTCAATCTTCTCAAGTAACCCGGTTGTAGGGCCTGAACTCTGGGCCTGGGCGCTGTCCCTCAGCTCTTCAGCTCAAGGCTAGCACTCTACCACTTGAGCCACAGCGCCACTTTCGGCTTTTTTTCTTTTTTGCTTATGTGGTGCTGAGGAATTGAACCCAGGGCCTCAGGCATGCAAGGCAAGGGCTCTACCACTTAGCCACCTTCCCAGCCCTCAAGTAACAATTGTGACTTTTCTGTATCTTTCCATTCTTCCTGTAGGTTTAAGTTCTCAAGCTGTGGAGATATGAAACTGATTAAAAGAATATCATTGAGCATGAACTGGAAAACATTTTTGTACATGAACTCTTAGAAATATAGTGAGGGCTGGAGACTCTTACCTCCAATGAACTACTAAAAAAAGCCTTACGTGGTGCTGTGGCTCAAGTGGTAGAGCACTAACCTTGAGTACAAAGAAGCTTAGGGACATTGCCCAGGTCCTGAGTTCAAGCCCTAGGACCAGCAAAAGAGAGAGAGAAAGAGAGAGAGAACTGAAGAGAAAAAGGTTGAATAAGTACAGCAGTGGAGCTCACTGGACACTGATGAAAGTGAACTATACATCATGAGACAGGAGGGAGGGACTGGAAGAGAATGAGGGACTGGGAGAGGATGAGGGAACAGAAGACACTATATGAAAGGAAATGTATTCATTACCTGACTCATGTAATTGCAATCCCTCTGTATATCACCTCTGTAACAGCAATAAACTATTTTAAAAATAAAAAATAAAATTACAATGTCCAGCCAGGCCAAAAAAAAAATGGATAAGAATTAAAATTAGAGGGGCTGGGAAGGTGGCTCAGTGGTAGAATGCTTGCCTTGCATGCATGAGGCCCTGGGTTCGATTCCTCAGCACCACATAAGCAAAAAAGAAAAAAGCCGCAAGTGGCTCTGTGGCTCAAGTGGTAGAGTGCTAGCCTTGAGCTGAAGAGCTGAGGGACAGCGCCCAGGCCCAGAGTTCAGGCCCCATGACTGGACCCAAAAAAAAAAAAAGAATTAAAATTAGCAAAGATGGAGAAAGAAAGGTTATAGCATCCAGTAGTCTTACAGTCTGTGCTTTGGGTATTTTGTGGGCGCCCCTTACTAGTTTTTGCCTCTGGGATGCTTTTTTTTTTTTTTCTTTTTTTGCCAGTCCTGGCAGGGCCTAGGTGCTGTCCCTGAGATTTTGTGCTGTGGCTCTATCACTTGAGTCACAGCTCCTCTTGTGGCTTTTTGATGGTTAATTGGAAATAAGAGACCCAGACCCTAATAATCCCTCTTTTATTTGTAGACTTTTCCTTTTTTTTTTTTTTTTTTTTTCGGGCGTGGGGCTTGAACTCTGGGCCTGGGCGCTGTCCCTCAGCTCTTCAGCTCAAGGCGAGCGCTCTACCACTTGAGCTACAGTGCCACTTCCGGTTTTCTGGTGGTTTATTGGAGATAGGAGTCTCAAGGTCTCTCCTGCCCGGGCTGGCTTTGAACCGCGATCCTCAGATCTCAGCCTCCTGAGTAGCTAGGATTACAGGTGTGAGCCACCAGCGCCCGGCTTCCTTTTTTTTTTTTAACCTAAGGTTCTAATATGAGAGAAAATATGCAACTGCTTGTCTTTATCTATCTGACTTATTTCAACTTAACATGTTGACCTTTCAGTTCCCATCACTTTTCTGCAAATGGTAGGATTATGCTCTTAACAGTTAAATAAAACTTCATTGTTTATACATACCGTATTTTTTAAATTCAGTCATTCTAGGCCGATTCCATTAGTTGGCTGTTGTGAATAGTGCTGTAATAAACATGAGTATGTAGCTATCTGTATTGTATGCTGACTTCAGCTGGATCATATGATAATTCTATTTTTTAGTATTTTGGTGAATCCCTGTGCTGATTCTTTAGTGGCTCTAATTTGTATTTCCTTCAGAAGTATAATAGAATTCCTTCATCTCTATGTCCTTGCCAGCATTTTTACCTTCTAAGTAATAGATACTCTAACCAGGATGAGATGACATCTCATTGTAGTTTCCATTTGTTTAGTTTCCCTGATAGCTAGAGATATTGAGCATTTTTTTTCTTTTTTTCTTTTTTTTTGTGGGGGGGGTCTGGTCGTGGGGCCTGAACTCTGGGCCTGGGTGCTGTCCCTCAGCTCTTCAGCTCAAGGCTAGCGCTCTACCACTTGAGCCAGAGCACCACTTCCAGCTTTTTTCTTTTTTTTGCTTATGTGGTGCTGAGGAATCGAACCCAGGGCCTTGAGCATGCAAGGCAAGCACTCTACCACTGAGCCACCTTCTCAGCCCATGAGCATTTTTTTCTATGTCTATAATTTCATTTGTCAGTTCTAGCTTTTGTTTCCTGAGCTACTGAATTCCTATCTAGGAAATTACTGCCTATGCCATTATCTTGAAGTGTTTCCTTTTGTGTTTTCTTCTCATAGTTTCAAAGTTTCTAGGCTTAAATTAAGGATTTTGGTCCATTTTGAGTTGATTTTTTTATATGGTGAGAGATTATGGTTTACTTAAGAGTAAAACCCTTCTACTTAGGGATTTTTCAAGCACCATTTGTTAAAGAGGCTATCTTTTCTTCAGTGGATGTTTTTTGGCACCTCTTCCAAAAATCAGTTGGCTTAAAAGGAGTGGATTTATTTTCCAGCTTCTCCATACTGTTCCTTTGGCCTATGGATCTGTTATTATGCTCTGCTATCTTTTGTAATCAAGTATGGTTGTGGTTCCTTTAGCACTGGTCCTCTTCTTCATGATTGCTTTGACCATTCAAAATCTTTGGTACATGAATTTTAGGATTATTCTATTTTTATATGAGGAATGTTATTGGGATTTGGGGATTGCATTGAATCTATAAATTGTTTAGGTAGTATGGCCATTTTGTCTGTATGTATGTATTTAATTTTGGTGGTACTAGGGTCTGAACTCAGGACCTTTGTTCTTGCTAGGCAGGTATACTATCACTAAATCATTCATTTAGTGCTTTTTTTTAGGTTTCTTTTCTTTTCCTTTTTTCTTTTTTTTTTTGTTCTGGTCCTGGAGTACAGGAAGTACACCCATATTACTTTTTGGTTATAGCTATTTTTCAAATACTCTGTTTTTGCCAGGGTTTTCCTGGACTGTGTTCCTCCTCTTTATACTACCTGTCTCTTAATTATTACAATTGAAATGCCATCACTTTCCGATTTTTTTGTATAGATTTTAATTGTAAAAATACTTTACAGAGGGGTTACAGTTACATGAGTAAGGTAATGAGTACATTTTCTATCAAGCATTGTTACACCCTCCTTTGTTTTTCCCTTGCCATTCCTTCCCTCCCCACCTCCCTTACTCCTTCCTCCATCCCCAAGTTGTAAAGTAAGTTTTCAACATAGTATCTTGTATATCACATTGTTACAATGGGTCAACCTGTATCCTTATTTCAGCATTTTGTTATTTCCCTACCGCTCTCCAAATTAGTAAAATGTATATACAAGATGCAGAGCACTGGAATCAAATACAGAGAAAACAGGAATTATACCATGGGGAAAGAACATACAAAAGAAACAAAAAAAAAAATCACATGTACATTATAAATACATTAAAAACAACAGCAAGAAAGATAAAACCACTTGTGTCCATATCTTGGGGTTCATTTCGCTTAGCATCATCTTATATGGTCATATGTACATAGTTTTTTACTTTTTCGGCTTGTCCTAGTTATTGCAAATAAGAGAAACCATGGGACCTATGTTTCTTTAGGCCTGGCTTACTTCACTTAGTATAATTTTTTCCAAGTCTTTCCATTCCCTAACAAATGGGGCAATGTCATTCTTTCTGATGGAGGCATAGAATTCCATTGTGTATATATACCACATTTTCTTCACTCATCTACTTACTGCGGGGCATCTGGGTTGGTTCCATATCTTAGCTATGGTAAATAATGCTGCGATAAACACAGTTGTGCTGGTAGCTTTAGTATAGCCTTGTTTGTGATTGTTTGGGGAAATGACTAAAAGTGGGATTGCTGGGTCATAGGGGAGCTATATGTGTAGTTTTTTGAGGAACTTCCATACTGCTTTCCAAAGTGGTTGAACAAGTTTACACTCCCACCAACAATGCATTAGGGTTCCCTTTTGGCCACATCCCCTCCAGCATCTGTTGTTACTAGATTTCTTGATTAGAGCCATTCTAACTGGGGTAAGGTGGAATCTCAATTTTGTTTAATTTGTATTTCTTTTATGGCCAGAGAAGTTGAGTATTTCTTCATGTGTCTATATTTTAGAGACCCTTGTCCGTTGTATTGGTAGTAAAGATCTTCTCCCAATCCGTGGGCTTTCTATTGATCTTGCTAGCTATGTCCTTTTCCATGCAGAAACTCTGCAGTTTCATGCAATCCCATTTGTCCAAACTTTCTTTGTTGTGTTTCTGGGTCTTTATTTAGAAAAATTCAGCCTGTGCCAAGGAGCCCTAGAGTTTCTCCTATTCCTTATCATAATGTTTTCAGGGTATCTGCTTTGACTTAGAGGTCTTTGATCTATTTGGAGTTGATTCTAGTGCAAGTGATATATAAGGATCTAGCTTTAGTTTTCTACAGGTGTTTAACCCATTTTGTCAGCACCATTTACTGAAGAGGCTGTCTTTGTTCAATTCTATTATTTTAGCTCTCTTATCGAAGATTAGATGGCTATAGGTCTGTGGGTTCATTTCTGGGTCTTCAGTTCTATTCCATTGGCCCTCAGGTCTGTTCTTGTGCCAGTACCAAGCTGTTTTGATTACTACACTCTCAGAGTTTTATTGGTTAAAATGGGTAGTCTCTTGAACTTCTTTCCTGGCATTTAATTTCTCCCTCCTGAATAGCAAAAATTTCAGATGTGAGCCACTGTATTTGGCATGGCTGACCTTTTTAGTAATAGTTCACAGTCTAAAATGCAGTGTGTGTATTCTAAATTTTTATATTTTCCTCTTCTTGCAAGTCTTTAATATCAACCCAAAACCTAGGAAGTAGAACTGATCTAATAGAGAACACAGCACAGTAAGCTGGAGAACTTAGGAGTTTGTGTGATTGCCATTATTAAAGTTTGTTTTGGTTATTCCTGTTTGGGCCAAATTTGAGAATTGTTGATTATGTGATATATTGCACATACTTAGTATTTGATACTAAGTGAAAGGGATATTGTCTGATTGTTCCTCTTCTGATTTCAGCCTTTTCCTCATACTATTCTTTTTTTTCCTCATACCATTCTTGAATTTTGTATTTTCTCATTTTTCTATGCATCTCTGGACATAATCTTAAGTGTCTTGAATTATCTCTCAACCTTAACCACAGAAGTATTTTATTTGCTATTACAGTTTCAGTTGAAGTTAAGCCTACTCTACCTCCTCCATGGAGTTGTTGATTTTCTGAACAGTCATGATTTCTGTGTGTCTTTGTAAACTGCTTTGAAATAACTATATTATTGTATTTGTTGTTCTTTTTTGTTTTGGGGGTTTGGGGTTTTTTTGCCTCTCCATTTGACTGTACATTTCTTGGGGGCAGGGATAGCTCCATCCTATGCTGAGCATGTAGTTTTCATAAACACACTGAAATGAATTTCAGACAAATACTGAAATAATTTGTTTAAATTTGTTTAACAATACATTACATTTGGAATCATCATTCAAAATCCCACGCACATTAACAAACACTGTGAGGTAGTGCCAGTCACACTTTTAAGATTCAAGTAAAAAGGCAGAGCACATACCCAAGTTGATAAGCTGAGGGTATGTTAGAACTACAGTCCACCCTGCCTGTTGAGGCCCTGTGCTAGTCAGTCTGTAATATCCTCAAGGCCAGAAGAATAGGTCTCTGGCTTTCAGACACATGCCACTAGGATTCTAGCTCTAGAGTTAGCCAACTCATTGGAAATTGGAGATACTTTATAGTGTCCTAAATTTTATATGTACTGTATTCCTTTGAGTTTTGTGTATATTTTGGTTTTGTTTTGTTTTCTTATCTGCATTTTTAATCGAACTATATATGTATTTTTGTGTATATATGTATTGTGTGCATGTATGTACGTATGTATGTATAGCTCTATGTTTTACCAAGAAAAGGAAGAGGAATAAAACAGAAATTTGAAGCATATGAAAAATAAACTTTACTCATAAATGAGGCTGCTATTTATAACATTAGGCTTTCATTTGCTATGATGTTTTCTCTGTAATCAACAAGACAGCCAAAGGAAAAATGGTATAACAAGCCTATACTTAGAAAATTAATGTATATTTGATTTCTAGGCTCGTGAATCAAAGACTTCTAGAAGTGCAATCACAAGTTGAAGAACTACAAAAATCTTTACAGGATCAAGGCTCTAAAGCAGAAGATGTAAGTTTTAATATGCACTACCATGGTCCAAAATTTTCAAAATGTTGAGAAAAGCATAACTTTTCTTTTGGAAGATGGTCTCTATCAGAATAATTTGGTGTTATACTAGTTATAAAAAAGACACATTTTTTTTCCTTTTTACTAGCATTCCTTGTGAAAAGGGCCAGACTATATTGACTCTTTCATATTTACTTTGCTGAAAAATTATCAGCTAAGGAATTGAGACTTTATGTTTTGAATTTCAACTTCGAGGCAAAATATGGGGATGTTTTTCCTCTGGTTAAAATGAAAACAAAAAAAGAGAGAGATAGACAGAGAGAGAGAGAGAGCCATGAACCAATGACTCATGCCTGTAATCCTACCTACTCAAGAGGCCCAAAACTGATTTCGAGATAGCCCAGGCAGAAAAGTTCACCTGACTTTATCATCAATTAACTAGAAGAAAAGCTGGACTGAAAATGTGGCTTAGTGCATGAGGCCCTGAGTTGAAGCCTTAGTAGGAGAGGAGAATATGAGAGAGAGAAAAAGAAGGAAGCGGGCAGGAAAGGAGAGAGAGAAAAAAAGGTATGGCTTCAGGGGTAGAGTACCTGTCCAGCAAGCACGAGGCTCTGCATTCAAACCCTAGGGCAGAAAGAGAGAGAGGGATGTTTCACTGGTAATTTTTAGTGCAAACTTGATATTTAAGAAAATAATGCCATCCCTAGGGGCTGGGAAGGTGGCTCAGTGGTAGAGCGCTTGCCTTGCATGCTCGAGGCCCTGGGTTCGATTCATCAGCACCACATAAGCAAAAAGAAAAAAGCCGGAAGTGATGCTGTGGCTCAGGTGGTAGAGCGCTAGCCTTGAGCTGAAGAGCTGAGGGACAGCCCCCAGGCCCAGAGTTCAGGCCCCACGACCCAACCCCCCCCAAAAAAAGAAAAAAAATAATGCCATCCCTAGAATGCCAATATCTCTATAATTTTAAATTCCTCCTACATGTCTACTTCCCCATGCTGAAGTTTTAAAGATTTCTTTAGTAGTCTACATATTACAGCACAACTCTTCTGTGATGGCATATACTCCATGGAAAATAACACTGTGTTGAGCTGTTGAAGACAGGAAATCCATGGTTTTCTTCACTTCTACATGCAAACCATCCTTTACAGGGATTAGATAGCACATTGTTACTCAGTTTCTAGTCAAAGTATAAATAAGTTATTACTGGCAAATGCTTTACATTTATTGAAAAGTATAATTAAGACTTATAAAGTGCTCAAAATAATGTAGAGGGGGAAGCAAATTTTGCTGATCCATCTTTGCTTCAGCCAGCTGTTTGGTTTTCCTGTTAAATTGTAAGTTGCTATAATCTCTGGCATGTAAGTATAAACCTACTTATCTTTTTTCCATTGAAATAAACTGGTGTTCTGCCACTTACGCCACATCTCCAGGCTGTCTTTGAACCATAATTGTCTAGATCTCAGCCTCCTAAGTAGCTAGGATTACAGTTTGAGCCCAGCAGAGTTTATTCCTTTAAAAAAAAGAAAGAGAAAGAAAGAAAAAGAAAGAAAGACAGAAAGAAGAGAGAAAAAAGGAAGGAAGGAAGTTTGCCACAGCCTATCTGGTAATGTTATCTGGTTCTAACCTAAGCAGAAGTTCCCTCTGAGCTCTTTTCTGTCTGTAGACTAGATTCAGGTGAAAACTCTCTGTTTCAAGGCTCTTCTTCAAATGCCTTGATGGTTTTTGTCTTGCTTTTCTCTTCACTCACTTGCTTTTCTCTTCACTCACTTACAGTATTGTATCTGAAGAGTAACCTTCCAAATGGATTGGTCCCCTCTGTGAAGAGCAACATAATTTTCTGCCTTTTTCTGTAACAGTCTTCTCATATCTTAGGTCAGAATAGGTTTTTTTGCATATTTTTATTATTTTTATGTCATTTGCTTTTAGTATGGGTGCAGAAAAGCCTTGTTAGATCTAATCATATGGATAATTTGAGATAGCCACAGTATATAAAACTCCAGAGACCAAGACAGGATGAGGAATCCATAGAAGAATGAAAATGTACAGTTCTGGGGGAAAAATGTATCTTTTACTTAATGTTCATAAATTACTAAATTGTTACTTCTCTTGATTGCTGTGTCTGCTTCATACTAATATGTCTTCTCTGTCTCTTGGCATGGTTTCTGCTCAAGGCTATTGTAAGTATGGTTTTCTGCTTGTTTTCATGTATTTACTACTTCTTAGATTTATATATTTATCTGATATCATAGGTGACAATACTGACATTTTAAATTAAGACAATTGTATGCAAAATGAATCTTTTAGCAAAAGCCAGGTGATGGTAGTACATACCTATAATCCTAGTTACTCAGGAGGCTGAGATCTAAGGATCCTCCTTTGAAGTCAGCCAGGACAAGAAAGTCAATGAAACTCTTATCCCTGGTTAACCACCAAAAATCTGGAAGTGGAGCTGTGGCTCAAGAAGTAGAGCACTACCCTTGAGCTAAAGAGGTCAGGGACGTCACTCAGGCCCTGAGTTCAAGCCCCAGAACCAGCACACAAAAACAAAAGTTATAAAAAGTTAAACCCTAGAAAAGTCTGTCCTTCAGATGTGGGTCTCTTCCCACATCTCACCCATACCTTGCTGTTTCGATAGTTTATTTATGTAAGTTACTTTGATAATAGCTTCCAATTGCAATCTGCCTCTTCTTGTACACATTTTTTTTGTGGGGGGGTCCAGTCGTGGGGCCTGAACTCTGGGCCTGGGCACTGTCCTTCATCTCTTCAGCTCAAGGCTAGCGCTCTACCACTTGAGCCACAGCGCCACTTCCGGCTTTTTTCTTTTTGCTTATGTGGTGCTGAGGAATCGAACTCAGGGCCTCATGCATGCAAGGCAAGCGCTCTACCAGCCCTCTTGCACACATTTTAACAGTACCAGTGTTCCCTTTGGAGAGACCTTGTAGCATAGAAAAGATGAGAGAGCAGACTATGAAGACTAGAAAACCTAGGTTTTAAATTGAGATCTGCTACTTAAAAGCTAGTAAATATTTTCAGTCATCTCTTACTCCTTTGTAAGATGGGGCTAATATTACAGTGTTGTCAGATATATATACAAGGCATTTGTACATGACATGCTCTACCATAGTGCTTGGCATATTTAATTATTATAACATCAACTAAGAGTTAAAATTAACTTTGTTAGAGTTTAATTAATTTGTACATATACATTTTGTACATAATTAAACTTTTTAAAAATTACATTGTATCCTCTGTACTAAAGAAAATAAGCAATAATCAAAAGTAGTGAAGTTACTGTCTTTTTGTATTTTAATATGTTTTTCAGGAAGAGTGTGTGTGTCTTGGGTGCTGTCCCTGATCTATTTTGCTCAAGGCTAGCTAATTTCCTGCCTGGCTGGCTTTAAACCATGGTCCTCATATACCAGCCTCCTGAGTAGCTGAAATTACAGACATGAGCAACTGGTGCCTAGCAGGAGAAAGTTTTTTTAAAAAATCAAATCTAAGCTGCATTCACCACCAAATTAAAATCTGTGCATAATTGCCATTTTCCACATTTCCCATACAATCTTGTAAATTATTTATAACTGTGCATAAGTGAAAATGTACATAGTTCTGTACATATATAGAAATTGATCCAAGATCTTATTATGATACAAGGATAAAAATACAGAAGATAAGTCTGTCTTAGGATAAGTCTATTATTAGGGTATTTATTGGCCTATTGAGTCCAGGAATGTTGAATCTTTATCAAAGTTACTTGGAAAGTCCTTATCTGACTATCAGTAAAGGAGTTAAATATTCCATTTCTAGGTATTTTATACTAATCACCTGCACTTACGGACAGCTCTCTTCTTTTATTCAAGAGAAGTAAAGTAGAATACATTGCTTTTTGAGCTCTTTGACCAAAGAAATTACTGAGAGCAAACTTTGTTTCTACTATATTCTTAAATTTTTAAAAATAATTTGTTGGTTAAAATTTTCAAGTAATTAATTTTTATTTTTCATTTTCAGTCAATACTTCTAAAAAAGAAGCTTGAAGAACATCTGTAAGTAGAAAAGTTGTCAAAACTCATTCTATTCTGGGAATAAGGTCTTTGTGTTAGGGCTGGAGAGGTCTTAGGCAATGGCATGTGTGTCCTTGTTGATAAAGGTAATTCTGCTGCATATTAATAGTGTTTACAATGTCATTTCCATCCAACATCTATAGCTCTGAACAGTGACTGAACTATTTTCTTACATTTTATGCTTCATATCTTGTTGAAATCTTTATAATCATAGTTAGGAATTTTGATGCTAAACAAAAAAGGCAAGAACTTTTTCCTTTTTTGTGGAGGGGGGGTCCGGTCGTGGGGCCTGAACTCTGGGCCTGGGCACTGTCCCTCAGCTCTTCATCTCAAGGCTAGCGCTCTACCACTTGAGCCACAGCGCCACTTCTGGCTTTTTTCTTTTTGCTTATATGGTGCTGAGGAATCGAACCCAGGGCCTCATGCATGCAAGGCAAGCACTCTACCACTGAGCCACCTTCCCAGCCCAAGAACTTTTTCCTTTGAAGGGCTATATAATAATTACTTTGGTCGTGGCCTCTGTCCCTATAGTCTGCGTGGTCGCTTGAAAGTAGTCATGCACAGTATCAAATGCATTAGTGACTATATTCTAATAAAATTTCATATACAAAGCTAGGTATTCAACTGCCTATAAGACTACAAGCTGCAGTTTATCAACCCTAAAGGGTAGCCACCTGAAGATTCCTTTTTCAATATGTTTTTAATAGTACATACCTTAACTGACATATTGAATTAAAACCCATTGTACAACTACTTAGAGTTAACAAATTTAAATATAAAACTTACCAGTAACATTTTCAAGTATTTCCTTAAGTTACAAAAGATGAATATTTTTAGCTGGGTGCTAGGGCTCACATCCTTTTTTTTTTTTTAATCGATCATGGGGCTTGAACTCAGTCTGCACTGTACCCCTTTGCACTTGAGCCATAGCACCACTTCCTCACATCTTTAATCCTAGCAACTCTGGAGGTTTAAGATGTAAGGATCACAGTTCAGAGTAAGCCCAGAGTAAGGAAAGTCAATGAGACTCTCTTCTCCAATTAAGCCAGAAGTAGAGCAATGACACAAGTGGTAAAACACCAGCCTTGAGTGTAAGAGCCTGAGGGACAGTGCTTAGGCCCTGAGTTCAAGCCCCAGTACGGTAACAAAAACAAAAACATGAATTAACTCTGATATTTCATAAAGAAATTTTCATCTATCTATCTTTATTCACAATTTTAGGGATGTTAATAATTTTTCTGACACCCAGTAATAACTTTAATTCTTTTTATCACTTTGTAGCACTTCCTTGCAGGAAATAAACATGTGATTATCATGCATTGATGGTCTGTTGGAGTGTTAAATGTTACACTGCATAAACCAAACACCTTCACCACAAAGATGATTTTAACTTGTTACACTATGATTTGAATGACAGTCTATACCCTGAAAATTTTACTTGTACTATTCAGGTTTTTATTAGCATCAACTAGTTGTACAAGGGTATTTCATTTTAACACGTCCATTTATGAATATGTTGTTCATATCCATAAATACATCTTGATCAATCACCACCATCCTTCTCTTTCCTCCCTATAACCCACTTCCTCAACCAGTCTCACTGAGTTTCTTTGTTCCACTTTCACACAGGATAAATTATTATATTTGACCTCCTTCCCCCTCTGCTTGTTTGCCTCCCTTCTAGTCCAATGTTTTTAAATATGGGAGATATATGTACAATACACCTAGTAAATGAGACTTATGATAACTAACATTAAGTAGATTCTTTATATATTAGGAAAACAAAGAGTATTTTTCCTGTCTTTGTAAAGGATAAGAATTTGGTACACATAGGATGAGCATTCTGTTTTTGTTTTTGTGTTTTTCTTGTTGTTGTTTCCCTCATCATTTTATGACAAATTAGCTTACCAAAGAGTCATTGTTCTGTATTCAGTCATTTACATGGTAAAAATACCTTCATTAGGATAGATTTATTGCTGAAGATGGAGACTTATTAGTTTCATATGACTGTCATAAAAATTACCATAAAGACAACAGAAAACTAATGACACATAGCTAAGGAAGCTGTGAATCAAAATCTAGAAGCCCAGAAGGAGAATCTTCCATGTCTGTTCCTAGCTTCCGGAGGCTGCTGACAATCCTTGGTGTTCCTTAAAGGTCCACTCCATCTTCAAATGCTGATCTTCCATCTTCAGGGCATGTGGGAAACCAGGATTACTTCTGAATCTTACATACTATGTTTTTTCCTATGCTTCTGTGCCTGTAATAAGGTTTATAAAGTAAGCCCTGTAAGAGATTAACAACAATATGCAATAATAAAAAAAATAGGACAATGTAACCATATACTGATTCACTGACATTGTATCTGACAACCAAGATCCACTAATTGACTAATAGGAAGTAGCCTACACAGTGTGGATGTACTGAACCCAGTATTATCCATAGATAATTATCATAGAGAACCACAGGAAACTGCATCATGCTACTCAGCACATCATTTATGTATTGTTTATTTCTGGATGTTTCCATTTAACATTTTGGACCATAATTGACCAAAAACAACTACAATAATTGGATGGAAAACCACAGATAAGGAATAACTACTGGTCTTGTGCCTGTAGCTCTGCCCTGTAACCCTAGCTGCTCAGGAATGTGAGACCTAAAGACCGCAATTAGGAAGCCAGTCTGGACAGGAAAGTCCATGAGACTTTTTTTTTTTTGGGGGGGGGGTCCAGTCGTGGGGCCTGAACTCTGGGCCTGGGCGCTGTCCTTCAGCTCTTCAGCTCAAGCTAGTGCTCTACCACTTGAGCCATAGTGCCACTTCCGGCTTTTTTCTTTTTGCTTATGTGGTGCTGAGGAATAGAACCCAGGGCCCCAGGCATGCAAGGCAAGCGCTCTACCACTGAGCCACCTTCCCAGCCCCCATGAGACTCTTTTTTCCAGTTAACTACCAAGAAGCCAGAAGTGGAACCATGGCACAAGTCGTACAATGTTAGCCTTGAGCAAAACAGCTCAAGGATAGCACCCTGAACCGGCCCAGAACCAGCACAAAAATAAGTACATAAATAAAGAATAAAAGAAACTAGGAGAGAGTGAGGGAAGGGGCAACATTGTCCCAAAGGAAATATGTAACTAAAAGTCCTCTGTGCATCATCTTTATAATAACAATAAAAAAGTAAAAATTGAAAGAAAAAAGCAAAACCAAAAGAATAAAAGGATGAATTATATATGTTTGTGTCCTCTAATGGCCTTTTTTTTTTTTTTTAAATTTTTCCAGTGTGGGGCCTGAACTCTGGGCCTGGGCACTGTCCCTCAGCTCTTCAGCTCAAGGCGAGCGCTTTACCACTTAAGCCACAGCGCCACTTCTGGTTTTTTCTGCGTATAAGGTCCTGATGAAATGAACCCAGGGCCTTGTGCATGCAAGGCCAGCACTCTACCACTGAGCTACCTTCCCAGACCCCTCTCATAGCCTTTCTTTTTTTTTTTGGGTCCGGTCGTGGGGCCTGAACTCTGGGCCTGGGCACTGTCCCTCAGCTCTTCATCTCAAGGCTAGCACTCTACCACTTGAGCCACAGCGCCACTTCCGGCTTTTTTTCTTTTTGCTTATTTGGTGCTGGGGAATCGAACCCAGGGCCTCATGCATGCAAAGCAAGCGCTCTACCACTGTGCCACCTTCCCAGACCCTCTCATAGCCTTTCTATGAGGACACTAAGGATTAGATTAGTGTCCAACTTAGTCCAGTATGACCTCTTGTTGATGAGGTCATATAAAGACTCAATTTCCAAATAGTACTAGAACTTTAACTTATATTTGAGAGACACAATTTAACTCACTACAGGGCTTCTTTACATCTCAAACAATGGTCAATCTCATATAATTTTTTTTTCTTTTTTAAAATGTACCCATTGAAAATCTCCAATGTACTTCTTTTTTTAAATTTTCATTTATTTATTTTTGTTTCTGTGGTACCAAGGAATCAAACCCAGGGCCTCATGCATGCTAGGCAAGCAGTACCACTAAGCCACATTCCTAGCCCGCATAAATTTTTTAAAAAAATCACAACTAGTGTTACTAAAGATGTTACGCAATGGTGATTTTCATTCACAATACTCTATTTGACATATCAGTTCCACTGTCTATATCTGAGATTTCTGGAGATGACTGTTATCCATGCGTAATAGGTATCATGTAGAAGACATATACATAATAAGTAAAATATAAAGCAGAAGCTTGGAGAAATTAAACTGTATTGTCTAGGAGTAATAAAAGCATCATAAAAATCATAGAACTTGGGGCTGGGAATGTGGCTTGGTGGTAGAGTTCTTGCCTACCATGCATGAAGCCCTGGGTTTGATTCTGGTGCTGTGGCTCAAGTGGTAGAGTGCTAGCCTTGAGTAAAAACTCAGGGACAGTGCCCAGGCCCAGAGTTCAGTCCTCTGGACTGGCAAAAAGAAAAATCATAGGACTGATTAAAAAGTTTGGTGTTTGGTTACCCCTGGGAAGAACATAGAGATGTATGACTTCTAAAGTTTTTGGATGAGTTTTGTTTGGAACCTAGTGGTAATTCACCGGACCATATTTTTGTTTTTCTTTTTCTTTTTTCTTTTCTTTTTCTTTTTTGTGCCAATAGAGGCTTAAACTCTAACCTGTGCTCTCAGCTTTTTCACTCATGCTAGCTCTCTACTACTTGAGCCATACCGCCAATTCTTACTTTTTGCTGGTTAGAGATAAAATTTAGATTTTCCAATCTGGAGATGTCTGCCCAAGCTATCTTTGAATTGTGATCCTCAGATCTCAGACTCCTAACTAGCTAGAATTACAGATGTCAACCTACTACTGATACTTAGTGGTTTTTATACTTCTTTAAGCTGCATACATTTGTATTGTATATGTCACATCTTCAGAAACTAATTATTGGCACTGTGGCCCAAAACAGTAGCACTAGCTTTGAGCAAGATAGCTCAGGGACAGCACCCAAGCCCTTACCACAACTAACGACAACAACAACAGCAGCAAATACACACACATACATACACACACACACACACACGTGAAAGGCTTTAATATAGTAGTATGCATGAAAACTATGAGAATTAAACAACAAAGTTTTCCATTTTTATCAATGTTTTTTCTCTATCTTTCACCTTTACAGCCTTTTTTCCTATTCCTATTATTTAGTATCAGAATTAAATACTGCAGAGAATTATACATATTTTGCAAATTACTATATATCATATAAAGACCAGGAAAATATCTTCTGTTAATTCTTTCTTTTATCTTGGAATATAGCATGCATACAGGATAGTTCATATCCTAAGCTCCTAAAAGCCCAGCTTGATGAGTGTTTACCTCCATATTTAAGTGACATATCAATATAGCCACCTAACAGGATTTTTCCTTCTCCCTCCCAGATGATTGATTACATCCCTAAACCAGACACAATACTGATCATTATTACTTTTTAAAGTCTTGACACTTCTGCAACCTTGTATAAATGACATATATTAATCCCCTGACATACTTTTGTTCTGTAAAATTTATTTAAATGGTTTCCTGTTCATTCTTTTTATTGATGTGTAGTGTCCCTTGTTATTCCTGAGTTTTAGAACTTTGTTTTTGGAAAAAGGTTTTCCTTAGAAATGCCTAAAGTTTAAATTTTTTATTTTATACCTTCATTCCTAGGGGGGAAAAAAACAATCTGTACCCTCATATATATTTATGTAGAAGAACTAACTACTTTTTCAGTCCAAAAGAGATATTTTTGTCTTTAAATTTATTTAGTTATACAGTAAATTCATGTTGATTTGGGTTTCTTTCTTTTTTTTGACGGTTGTGGGGCCTGAACTCTGGGCCTGGGCACTGTCCCTCAGCTCTTCTGCTCAAGGCTAGCACTCTACCACTTAAACCACAGAGCCACTTCTGACTTTTTCTGATTATGTGGTACTGAGGAATTGAACCCAGGGCCTCATGCATGCAAGGCAAGCACTCTACCACTGAGCCACCTTCCCAGCCCTGATTTGGGTTTCTTATAGCACTTCTAGGTAATGCAAGTGTATTCCAAGAATAAAGAATATGAATCTTTAATGTGAAGTGAAAAACAAAAACAAAAGTGGGTATGATAGTGTTTTGTATTTCGTTATAGAGAGAAGCTGCATGAAGCCAATAATGAATTACAGAAGAAGAGAGCCATTATCGAAGATCTTGAACCAAGATTTAATAACAGCTGTGAGTTTTTTTTCCTAATTAGCATCATTAACTAAAAACTATCTTACTGATAGTGATTTTGGTAATATAACTTTAGAAATAGGCTTTATAATAAATTATAGCTGGGCTGGGAAGGTGGCTCAGTGGTAGAGCACGTGCCTTGCATGCATGAGGCCCTGGGTTCGATTCCTCAGCACCACATAAGCAAAAAGAAAAAAGCTGGAAGTGGCGCTGTGGCTCAAGTGGTAGAGCGCTAGCCTTGAGCTAAAGAGCTGAGGGACAGCGCCCAGGCCCAGAGTTCAGGCCCCATGACCGGACCCCCCCCCCCAAAAAAAAATAGAATCTAATGCCTGTGAAGTAAGATATTTTCATAGTGTAACTTTGACAAACTTGCACTTTCATTGACATTTAAACCTATGAATGGCTTGTACTTCTTTATGCAAGTGAGAGGACAGGCTTCTTCTTTTTAAAAAATAATAATCATTTAAAAAATAAATAATCATTTGAAATGTGTAGTTCAGTGACTGTAAGTACATATACATTATTGTATAGCCATCAGCAGTACTTAGCTAAATGCTTTTCTCATTACCAAGAAGAAGTCCACATACATTAAATAATAATTTGCCATTCCTTTCTTCCTAACCTACGGTAATCACAACTCTACTTTCTGTCTCTGAATTAACTATTTTAGGCAACTCATTAGTAGATTCATAGGACATTTATCCTTTCCAGTCTGGCTTATTTTACTTAGCATAATGCCTTTAATTTCCATTTAACATAATGTCTATTTTGTATCATGTATTAGAATTAGGTCTGAATAATATTGCATTATATAAATATTCATTTTGTTCATCTGTCAAAGGATAGTTTTTTACTTACTCTCTTTAATATTTGAGTTCTTGTTTATAAGAAAATAAATTATTAGTTGGTTTTTAAAGAAAAATCATGAGTGAGACATGATAGTCATGCCCAGCTACTCTGATGGTAGAGATTAAGAGTATCAAGGATCAAAGCCAGTATAGGGTCAGAAACTTCTCAACTAATAAAAAGCTGGGCTGAGAAGGTGGCTCAGTGGTAGAATGCTTACCTTGCATGCATGAGGCCCTGGGTTCGATTCCTCAGCACCCCATAAGAAAAAAGAAAAAAGCCAGAAATGGCGCTGTGGCTCAAGTGGTAGGCCTTGAGCTGAAGAGCTGAGGAACAGCACCCAGGCCCAGAGTTCAGGCCCCATGACCAAGACCCAAAAATAGAATCACAGGCTAGGCCAGATGGCCTAGCATAAATGTGAGAGACCCAATTGAAAAAGTAACTAAAGCAAAAAGGACTAGGGAATATAGATTAAGTTGCAAAATCCTTGCCTGAGAAATTCAAGTCCACAAGCTCAATCCCCAATACTATAAAACAAAACAAAATTATAGCTGGTACTGGTCACTCATGCTTTTACTCCTAACTACTTAGGAGGATCTAAGTATCTCAGTTCAAAAACAGCTCAAGCAGGAAAGCTTGTATAACTTTTATCTCCAATTAACTACAAAAAAAAAAAAACCAATAAACAAAAAAGAAAAGGCAGAAGTGGTGCTGTGTAGTAATAGAACAGTAGCTGTGTAGTAATAGAACAGTAGCTTTGAACATAAAAAGCTTCAAGACAGCACTGAGGCCCTGAGTTGAAGCCCCAGGACCAGCATGAAAGAAGAAGGAAGAGAAGAGGGGGGAGAGGGAAAAGAAAAGACAAAGAAGGAAGAGGCAGAGGAATAAAAAAAAGAAGGAGGGAGCAAGAGGAAGAAGAAAATTATCTATAAGAATAGACTAAACAGCCAGGCGCCAGTGGTTCAGGCCTGTAATCCTAGCTACTCGGGAGGCTGAGATCTGAGGATCGCGGTTCAAAGCCAGCCTGGGCAGGAAACTCCATGAAACTCTTATCTTCAATAAAGCACTAGATAACCAGAAGTGGTGCCGTGGCTCAAGGGGTAGAGTGCTCGCCTTGACTGAAGAGTGCAGGGACAATGCCCAAGCCCAGAGTTCAAGCCCCATGACTGACCAAAAAAAAAAAAAAAAGAATAGACTAAACAGTCTCTCAAACCTGTTAATTATTTAGCAATTAAAATAAGATAGGTGTTGGTGTTTCACACCTGTAATCCTAGCTTCTCAGCAGGTTGAAGTCTGAGGATCTCGGTTCAAAGCCGTTCCACATAGTAAAGTCCTCAAGACTCTTTTTGCCAGTTAACCACCAAAAAGTTGGAAGTATAGCTGTGGCTCTAGAGGTAGAGCACTAACTTTAAGCAAAAAAGCTCAGGGACAGCAGTTCAAGCCATAGGATCAGCACAAAAAAAAAAATATATATATATATATATATATATATATATATATATATATATAAAAGATGTTATCAAAATTTCACTGTCTCACTGTGTTGAAAATGAACTGTACAAGTTGTAGTTGGGAACAGGAGGGAAAAAGAGAGTGAGGGAAGGGTTAGTAACTGTCCAAAGAGAAAGTGTTCTTTACCTCACTTAGGTGTAAAATCCCTCTGTATATCACCTTTGTAATCTCAATGATTTTTTTTAAAATTTTACTGTCTCATCCAAAGCCTTAAAAATTGAAGAATTACAAGAAGCTTTACGGAAGAAAGAAGAAGAAATGAAGCAAATGGAAGAACGATATAAAAAATACTTAGAGAAAGCCAAAAGTGTAAGTATGCATTTGTAGGTATCGTACTCTACTTTCTGGACATGTTTTATTGGATTCCTAAATATAGTGCCCATAAGGCTAGATGTATGGTGTAAGTGAAAGATTTTCTAGCCTTGCAAGAACAAAGCCTTAGTTCAAAACCCAGTACCGCCAAAACACACCCAAATACACACACATTCCATACACATACTTAACATCTAATGAGGAAACCTTGTGATAAAGATATACAAAGAAATCTATTAAACCTGGCTGACTCAGTGGTAGTAGTGCTTGCCTTGCATGCATGAGGCCCTGGGTTTGATTCCTCAGTACCATATAAGCAGAAAAAGCTGGAAGTAGCGCTGTGGCTCAAGGTCAGGGCCCCACAACCGACACACACACACACAAAAAAAAGAAATCTATTAAACTGAGCACTGGTGGCTCACCCCTGTAATCCTAGCTACCCAGGAGCCTGAAGTCTGAGGATCAAAGTTCAAAGCCAGTCCAGGCAAGACAGTCTGTGAGACTTTTTTTTTTTTTTTTTGCTGGTCGTGAGCCTGAACTCTGGGCCTGGACGCTGCCCCTCAGCTCTTCAGCTCAAGGCTAGTACTCTACCAATTGAACCACACACAGCACCACTTCCAGCTTTTTCTGTTTACACTGTGCTGAGGAATGGAACCCAGGGCCTCATGATTGCAATGTAAGCACTGAGCCACCTTCCCAGCCCCTGTGAAACTCTTATCTCCAATAAACCACTCAGAAAACCGGAAGTGGCCCAGTGGCTCAACTGGTAGAGCACTAGCCTTGAGCTGAGAGCTGAGGGACAGCATTCAGGCCCAGAGTTCAAGCCCTAGGACCAACAAAAAAAGAAAGAAACAATCCCGAACAAAATATTGTGATCAAAATTACTTAGTAATTAACAAGAAGAAAATTTAACTTAATAGAAAGCAAGTGATCAGGGCTGGGAAGGTGGCTCAGTGGTAGAGCGCTTGCCTTGCATGCATGAGGCCCTGGATTCGATTCCTCAGCACCACATAAACAAAAAGAAAAAAGCCGGAAGTGGCGCTATGGCTCAAATGGTAGAGCGCTAGCCTTGAGCTGAAGAGCTGAAGGACAGCGACCAGGCCCAGAGTTCAGGCCCCCCCCCCAAAAAAAAAGAAAGCAAGTGACCATCACCAATTTAGCCAGTAATTAGAAGAGCAACACACATGGTATTACAAACAAGCCCTATAGCTTCCCTGTCTGTGACAATCAACCTGAATCCAGCAGTTATCTGTAACCAGCTTCCAGGTCAAAGGAAATAAGGCTCTCTATATATCTATAGATATAAATATTGGAACAGATTAATACCTTTAAGCTGTCAGATAACTTGGAAGATAAAAGTATCATGAAAACAAAATAGACAGTGGAGTGTTGGTAGCACTAGGAGACAGGCTAGTACTACTTTAAAAGAGCCCTAACTAACTGCCAACATTCATCTTTTGAGTCCTGGAGTGGCGGCAGAGAGAGTCAATGTGAAAGACATTTTGGGCCCTGGCATCAGTGGCTCATGTCTGTAATCCTAGTTACTTCTGGAGACTGAGATCTGAAGTTCAAAGCCAGCCCAGATAGGGGCTTTTAACCAATCAACCACCAGAAGTCTAGAAGTGGAAGGGTGGCTAAGGTGACAGAGTGCCAGCGTTGCATGAAAAGGCTAAAGAGCAGCGCCCAGGCCCCTAGTTCAAGCCCCAGTACTAGCACTAAAATAAAATGTAATCAAAAGGAAAAAAGGCATTTTGGAGACATCTGTGAAAGTATGGACTTGGCTTGAACCAAGTAATGGCAGTTTTAAAGAAATTTTCTAATAGATATTAGTATCACAATTATGTGCTATAATCTCTTTAAAGATGTGAATGCTCAGGAATTGAAGGGTTATATATCATGAGGTCATTAGTTGCCAAAGCAAGTATGTGTATTTGCACTGTGTATTAAGGAGAAAGGTGATATATTAGATAGGGCATTGTAGCAATAGGTGAATCTATGTTCAATGTAAATGGCCTTTTTGTTGTTTAAGCTTTCTGTAGCTTTGAACATTTTGATAGTAAAATGGAAAGGAGGAGTTAAAAAATGCCTTCCCTATAAGTCTTCCATTTGTTGAGCGAGTATTGACCCCACTGCCACCACTCATGCCCAAACCACATATGAGCAGAGGAGGCAACAGGGACACAGTAGTATGTTTGTGCTCTTTAGGACACATTCTCAAGTGCCTAACTCCTTAGAAGCCATGGTGAGCTGAAACAAAGAAGAGGCAGGGAAAGGAGAGAGCTGTCCATCGTGTCTGCTTAATTGTATTTATTGATGTAAGCCAGAATTAGCTTTTATAATTGATTCTTCTATATAATTCTTTATATATTCAAAAGTTGAAAAAGTAATATTATTTTATACATTTTTATTTTAAAGTGCTTTTTAAAATAGCCTTTGATCTTACAACTTTCCTTTTTGTGCCTTTTTTGGTTCTTGTTTAGCTATATTGTGTTGCTAGGTATGAAACACAGGGCCTCAGGCATTGATTAGGTAGGTGCCCTACCACTAAGTTATATACCCAACTCTATCCTTTTCAGGGTTAGGTTTTTTTTTTATTTTATTTATTTTTTTGCCAGTCTTGGGGCTTGAACTCAGAGCCTGAGCACTTCTTTTGCTCAAAGCTAGCTAGCTCTCTACTTCTGGCTTTTTTTTTTTTTTTTTTTTTTTTGTCGGTCATGCAGGCTGAACTCAGCCTGCACACTGTCCCTCAGCTCTTCAGCTCAAGGCTAGCACCCTACCACTTGAACCACAGTGCCACTTATGTGGTGCTGAGGAATTGAGCCCAGGGCCTTGTGCATGCGAAGCAAGCACTCTACCACTGAGCCAACTTCCCAGGCCCCACTTCTGGCATTTTTCCTGTGATTAATTAGACATAAGAGTCTCATGGGGCCGGGCGCTGGTGGCTCATGCCTGTAATCCTAGCTACTCAGGAGGCTGAGATCTGAGGATCGCAGTTCAAAGCCAGCC